GCGGAAGGCAAGGAGACGGAAATAAACAAAACTAGAAATAGTCAGCTAGTTATGATTCACCGTAACCCTGACGAAGGCCATATGAAGTTGAAACATGTAGTCAAAACTGGTAACTATTCTTATCGAAAGGTTTTCGCGACTGGAATTGAGAATTTCCGAGCGTTTCGGCTAATATGTAGTGCCCTTGTCGCCACCTGTCTGCCCTATATCAGGCGTAAAAGACCCCCGGCCACTACACATTAACCCTGAAGATGGCAAATGCAATGTGTGCCGAAACGCTGGGAAATTCGCGACATTCGACGCGGCTCAACTCAAAAGGCGCGGAAAACAACCACCGAACAGACTGAAGCAGCACCGTCGCTAATTCAACGAATGAGTAAACAGGAAAAAAAATTCATCTGTCGCTCCAGGTTGACTACGACTGGACCATAGCTTCCAGTCAGCTGAAGCTCATTGATTGCCAGCGAGTGGTCTGCCCTCTCGCACTGGAGCAAGCAACTACACAGAGCAGTGATCGATGACACGGACGTAAAGACGAAGACGCGGGGGGCGAAGGACAAGGAGGCTGTGTCCAAGACTCCAGCACCCCACGCCGCTCGCTACTTTGCAGCAGGGCGTCAGATGTTAACCCACGAAACAGGGCCTGTCGTAAAAGGATGAGACGGGTACTTCACACGCTGCTTTGGCCGCCAATGTCACCTAGGGAGTCCTCCGCTAGCCGCACAACAAAGTGGGGGATCCTCCACGACATCAACCAGCCAGACGGGAGACAGGAACACCGCCCTCGTAAAGGGCACTGATCCCAGACAGCTCTGACGTCACTGGTGCCATTTGTAAATGTCAAACTCTGGCGAAGGCACCAGAATTGGTACGCTATGCGTACATTTCGTCACTTAATTTTCTTTTCAACCGCATACCTTGGACAAATTTAATACTCAAATGTACGTCCATTTAATAGGCCTCTTATACTCGTATTTTGTAACGATTACCCCGAAATGTCTATGGCAATGCCAGTCGAAAGCACTTTTGGGTTAAGTCGCCCTGCTGCAGCAAGCTTACAAAAATACTGCTACCTAGTGGCAATTAATGTACAAATATCTGCCAACTCGCCCGAAGAAATGGGTGACCTTGAGCCCTGAACAACTTCATTCACATGAGCGTGCAGTGTACTGGCTGGAATATTTCCTCAGTCCTTCCCGTCAAAGCTGTAATAAATTAAAAATCCTGGCCAGTTCAACGTCTGTACCTATGCTGCTACTCGACGCTATGCCTTAACCAATGTAACTGATAAAGTGTGCTGAAATTGAAGACGGCTGTCTTGTTTCTGGGTTGTTGCACTGTGTAGTCTGGTAGAGAAACCTCTGAAACGTCGGTAAACTTCCACCAGACTCCACGACGCAACAACCCAGGATGATGACAGCCATCTTCGGACACGATTTCTTCTCAGAGACATCAGTGTAAAAACCACTAAACTGAGTTTTAACACAGTCACAAATCTGATAAAAAATCACAAAATCTTGACATGAAACCATGAAAAGACCTTTTATATGGGAGCCAAGTATTAAAGAAGACTTAAGATCTTATTTAGTTCAATATGCTTCACTCTACAAGACAGATTCTAAAATAATCTGAAAAGCAACTACACTCCAATCAATACAAATTGTTCAGAAAGCGTTCAAAGTGTAACAAAAATCAGTCAGAGGCCAAAAGTAAGACATGAAGGAGGAGGCAAAGAATGACCAAGCAAAGCAGAGAAGGAAAGGAAAGTTAAAATGATTTAAACACGTGACAAAGTTCACAACCTGAAGCAAAATAAAGAACAGTGGAGATGCAGGATAAGGGTTACCACTTAACTAGCACCCCAACACAAAAACCTCAATTTTACATTGCTACATTTAAGGCAAATCTCAGTTTTACTTAAGCTTTTCCTGTTCAACAGTCACTCACAACATGGAAATTAATTCCAGGCACATAAATTATGTCACAGCTTCTGAGCTAACTCAAGCCAAATTCAAACTTGAAAACTCCTGATCACTGTTCTTAACCTGTTCGTTCACCACAGCCAAAAGCAATGAAAATTAACGTTACCCTCAGATTTCACTCAAAATCTCCCCCCTCAAAACCAGCGTAACTCCATGACCCAGGGTCTTCCTCAGTTTTCAGCTGGTCAAGAAATGTCCTGCTATTAACAAATCCAAAGATTCAGCACCATTTTCTCAAAAAGCCCCCC